GTACAAACCAGCCATAGTGGGAGTGAATTTCTAGTACACTACCTTATATAACATATATCATGAATTGGTTTCTGTCATTTATTTGATTTACATATGTGTCACCAAATAAGTCGAGGAAATCACCAAATGACTGAAATGGGTTGGGAAAAGTAAAAGAATTCGATCTAGTACTAGGTCATGGGAACTGACAACTTACAGGTGAAACTGTTAAACAGCTGGGAACAGTCTTCCCTTTTTTCTGGCAAAACAAGGATGTGTGTCCTCAAATCTATTTTCTTTCCCTTGTACTCTTTTCAGAATAACTTGGAGAATGCCGCTGAAATATTTGTCAAGAGAGAAACTCCAACTCACTGGAGCCTACCCTAATGTTATATCACCTACCTGCAAAGCTGCCCACTCCTTTTTAAAACTCACAAACGCTGCCTCCAGAAAAATAATGCATTGCTAATTTTTGTGGTATGGGCCTGGCTCTCCTTACTCTCTGGTATTTTACAGTCATCTGTATCTATATAAAATAGCTTTGAAGGGTAGCCCAAGCAACGTTGCAGCTTTTCACAGCCTTGCGAGTAGCAAAGGAAGAAATAGAATAGAACCAAGCCCACATTTTCCTTGAGATTTATTTTGTTTTGCTTTTAAAGGTTTTGGCTTAGAGTTAAAAATATTGTACCTAAACTTGGATTTCTAAAGCCATAGTCAAGAACACACACTAACAGCTTGATTTTTAAGCAAGCAAAACACACAGAAATCATTTTTACAGTTATTCAGTAGAAAATGTGGGGGCTTCAGCTATTACAAGCCTGAAAATGTAATTTTAACACTGCTGTTGTGTGGGTTTCTTAATAAACAGAAAGCTTGGCTTCTGCTCATTTCAAAGCTTTTCAGCTCACCTTTAAGTTCATGCCTTTAAGTTGGCATGTAGTTGTAATACAGAGCAATCCTGCACAGGTGAAATAGCGATGTTGTGATTCCCAGGGGACCATGGTCATAACAGGAAAACTCTGACCTAGCCAGCTTTCCAAGGAACCCATATCCCACCACTTACAGACACAAAAGACATCAACAAAGCAGAGATCATCTTCAGGAAGTATCTCCTTCATCATCCTAAGTTCAGCTTTAGTTTTGTCTTCTGTAAAGTTCTTGGGGGGTTTTTTGTTTGTTTGTTTTTTTCCTAGGACTCACTAACTAAAAGGCTATTGCCTAAAACCTGAGACAACACACAAAATGATACAGAGCTTTGAGAAGGCTGGGATTTTTAGGGCTTTCAAGTGAAAAGCAGGAAGACGGCATGATCTCTCTTTTGGCATTTGGGAGGGGCAGGTCTGCTCTAAGGAGGTAAGAAATTATATATATGCAACTGCAGAGGGAGGCTTTCTGCTGTCACATTTATAGGGATGCAAAGGTCTCTCTCAATGTCTGTCACATCCTTCCACATTTTTGCTGTGCATGGGCTGTTCCAGTTTACTTGCTGGAAGCAGAAGACTGAATGAGAAGAGAGACTAAAGGCAGAGCTGTGACCACATTTTCCCTTTCTCAACTCACTGTTCCTATAGGAACACCTATAAAGGGAAGACAAAAACATTAAGATCAAAGAGAAGTGTGTCTGCAAGGAGGTTGTCTCAGGCAATAATATCAGAGTTACAGACAGTGGGGCAGGGAAGCACACCCTGTGGCTAGCGCTGAGATCTGCCTGGAAACCACATGTATATTAAAATTCTCCAACTGTTACAATGAACAAATAAAACAAAGAATCTGAATTGATTTGTAGAAGGTCTTTCTGTGGAGTCAGAGGTTAATTAAACAACTTTCCAAAGTGTCTTGTGGTTGTTTTGATAAGCACCTAGCCAAGAAGAACAACAAATTTCTGGCCAGCAGCAAAAGTAAAAGAGGTTGAGCACTGTCCGAAGAAGATGGCTACCCTGATGACTCCAGGTGAGGCTCTGAGTGCAAGAGCAACTCTCCCTAAGCCAGCCTGCCCTCTGTCCTCTCTCAAAAGTGGTGGGTAGTAAAGAGCAAGCAAAAGGAATGGGCATACAGTGAAACCACCCTGGCGTGCACGCCTTAGGTTGAAGCAATTAGTGGTGTAGGGAGCTCCCTGTGACCTTATTTGCATCACAAAGCTTTTGGTAGTGGTTTTTCTTGTAGCATTCTGTCTAGTTTGATCATTTTTTACTCATTTATACCTTTGGAATCAGTAAAACATCGCAGGGCACTAAGTGTCAAAGCTCAACCATGCAGTGATTTTTTTTTTTTAATTTATGCCTGTTAATATCCGCATGAGAGCTCTGGGTCTGATGTGAAAAAAAAATTAAATAGCCCCTGTCCACCTTCTCCATCTCTTCAAGGTTGCTTAGACCTACGTGCATTCCGCATAAGACATATCATTTCTGGGATGATGAGTCCTGGTCTACTGAACACCTCCCCTCTGAAAGGCAGGTAATTCTCACCATCTTTGTCACCTTTCCGTGTACCTTTCCCAGCTGCTCCGTATCCTTGCAGCGTTAGCATGGGCAGAACTGCTCTCAGGGTTTAAGGAGCTCTATCACGGACCCTCTCCAGACAGCAAATGCTGAGAGGTATCCCATTTATAGCTGCCTGTACGAGCAACACCCAGGGGTGAATGGAAAAGCTTTTATTCTCTAAATAAGACAAAGATCAGGTTCATGTTATAAGCTAATTTTCATATAGAATAAAAAGATAACCGTATCATTAATTTTTTTCTACAGATGCCCATATTTAGGTAAGGCTCTTCTGTGCAGACTGTTACAGAGGTGCTGCCAAACACTTTAAAATCTAAAGAGGGAGGGCAGACAAAGCATGTGAGAATGCAAATGCTATTTTATACAATTTCCATGTTAGAAGCTGAGGTACAGGATGTTGCTGAGATCGTCTGAGGCCACATCAGCAATCTGTGGTGGAATTAGGAATTCAGCCCTTGTCACTATTTCCCCATGAAATAAGAAAATTGTCCTTCATCTTTTTAGCTATGTGTCATTTCCACACCCTAGTTTGATTTTTAAGAGACATTAAAGATAATAATGTAGAATACTAATTGCCAAATTTGTCATTTGAAAGAATGGTAATACTTGAGTTACCTGTGGTTTTTTAAACAAGATATTTTTCATTCCCCTGAGCTTCAAAGTAGGAGACATACAGTCTCACTCCTTGCTAAAGAAAGGAAGAGATATAGTTGCAAGCTTTCTTCAGACAAAAGAGACCAAATGGTTTTCTTCAGCTTCTTTCTTTTTGCTTCCTTGCTTCTTTCCAATTGTATACTTCCATTTTTTTTCCCCTTTACTGAATCACATCGCAAAATGATTAATAACAGTAGGATATTCCTCACAGGGAACTGCTTCTGATGTCAGAACCTTTCAGTAAAGATCCCTACATTTACTCCCAGAGGATAAGATTGTGAAAATGACTTGCAGACATCAAAAAGACATTTTTAATGAGAATTTAGCAGAGCCCTTCATGTATTCTTTTTGTTTAGTAGCAGCTAAGTGTGCTGGCTACCACAAATGTCAAAAGCAGAAGGGTAACCTGTATTACCTTCCTCCTTCCCTGCTTTTCCTTATATTCAAGAGCCTTCTACGTTTGGCTAAAGGAAGGAACTTCACAACCAAGATGCCCAGTTTATATCCTCACTGCTAGGGCTCAAGGTCAGACCTGAGAAAGCATGACATTGACAGGTTAAATATAGCACTTTGTTTGATGATGGCCTCTCCTTTTATGTCACTCATGTTCTGCTAGCTTTCATCAGCTGAGAACACACTGCTAGAAAAGTGAAATTAGTGTGGGTGAAAGATGCCAGTAACTGATCAGGAGATCAGTTTGCAGCTTCATCTAAGCACAGAAAAGCAACAGCAGAGAAGACATCTCCCTGGCTAGTCCCCTTCCACTAAAAGCCAGTCTTCCCCCAACATTCATGTTGAACATCCATGTTCTAAAGTTCAGTGGGGAACAAACTGAGCAGATGTTTGTTCCCTACCAAGCCCCTCACCAAGGTTCCCACCATTAGCCCTCATCTGCCTTCATTTTCCACACATATATTTATTTACTGTCATGTAATGTTACGTATAAAATGGAGTAAATTTAATTTCCCATCATGGCAGAATGCTGCTGGACAAATAGGAAAGTGAGTCTCAGAGGCAATAATTTTTTAATACATCATCTGGCCTTGGTATCAATCGAGGTGTGAAACACTATGCTTAATCTACCACAGTAATGATAATGCAAGTCCCCGAGGACCCTAGGTGACAGCGGAGGAGAAAAATGCACCCTCTCTGTCCACACATGGACATTGCTCCACCCACATACCCCGCTCTCAGAGCCCACTAACTGTTTTACATGAGAAATTAGTGTTGGGGCAGAGGGGGGGCAGGAGGACCAGCAGGTCCTTATAATTTTTGTGAACCACTCTGATGCAGTATAGGATCTGAGCAAGGTCATGGCATTGTAAACCCTACTTTGGCAGTTTTACCCGTACTTAACACTGGCTCAGCTGAAAACACACAGAACTGAGTAAAGTCCCAGACCTAGATCCAGTCATTAAATATTACCTTCGGTTTATTTTTCCCTTCTTTTATTTTTTTCAGATAAAACCAGATTATGAGATCTACTTTCTTCCATGTAACACTGGCCTTGTTAGCCATTTTTTTTCTTTTACTCCTCACCAAGAGGTGGAACAGTTGGGAACCTCAGTATCTTTCAGTTCGAGGGATGCCGAACATCTCATCTTATCCTCTGTTCTGAACAGAAACTTTCCTGATGATCAGCTCCTAAAGGCTCACTTTTGCAACACCCTAGTACAAAGAAATCCCCTGTGGATGGAGTATGTCTGCTCCTGTTCTCACGTGGCATCACCACAGCTGAATCTCAATACCTGAACAAACCGCGGCAAGCGAATCCTCACAACACCACCACTAGACCAGGAAGAGTTACTCTCCCCACTTTAGGATGCTGAGCCAAAGCCTGCCCAAAGATAACAAGAGTTTGTCTCTGACCTCAGGAGGCTTTGTGTCAGGCCACAGGAATGTGTCAGAGATCAGGCAGGAGGTTGGTGGCATGGTCAGGAGCTGATCCGTGATTTCCTCGGTCTCTGTTCAGTGTCCTAAGCATAAAAATATTCTTCTTGAATTAAATCCTGATGTTTGCACAAAACATTAGCATACTTGGTCCAGGAAATATCCAAGATATTCAGTGGGTTATATGGAGAGAAATCAAAGTGGCATGTAAGTCTAATAAAATAGTAATTATGGGTTACTTCAGCCACCTGTACATTGGTAGGTTGACTGGTACAAATGGGTTAAACCCCCCCCCAATTTCTAGGTGATTTCTAGAATAACCGGAGAACATAACAGTATGTGTTCTTAACTTAGTCTTAAGTAGCTGAAAAAACGATACAGTCAAACCACTGAATAGTAATGAACTTATTACTACATTAAGAGCGTGAGGTGAAAACTGATAATAATTAGCGAACTGCTTAAAAAGTACTGGAGGTAGACAGAAAATAGGGGAAAAATACAAAAGGAAAGAATGAAAGAAAATAAAAGTAAAATACACAGATTCAAAACAACAGGTATATTAACAGAGAGTTTCTGATTCAGTGAAGTCATGCAGAAAGCAAACTGAAAGGCAAGATAGGGCTGAAAAAAAAAAAAAAAAAAGGTATTGTGAAATGTTAAGGTCCAAGAGGTTGTTTGAGCCAAGCAACCAGCTTTCAGGCAATGACACTTCAGCTCTGATGAAGGCCCTGGCTAAGGGAGGGAGATTATAATAAAACACAAACAAAATGTCAGCTATAAATGAAGAGGGCCGAGGATGAATTAACTGACAGGAGCTTGGAGGAGGGAGGCAGAGTGGAACTGCAGGATATTTCTGAAAGGTCTTAAATTCACCCAGTTTAGGAGGGAACCAGTGGGATCTGCTGCACCTCTAGGAGGTAATGGGAATAATTAATGAGCAAAAGGACTTTGCAGAGCTTCTTAATGATTAATTTGGGTAAACCTTCCCTGCAAATGATGCTGTGCCAATGTCCGTGCTAGACCCATTTTTTTCAAGACAAGAAAGGATATGAGCTGTCAGAATGTGAAATGCTGAAAGGGGTAACACTGGAACAAACTGATAAATTAAATAGCATCATGTCACAAGGACCTCATGGTTATACATGCAAGGGTTTGGAAAGCATTTGAAAACAAAGTGGCTCCGCTGATAACAAAAATACGCAAGCTGTTGCTGAAGTCAGATATGCTACAGAAGGACTGGAGTATAGCAGCTAGCATACCTATCTTTAGGACACTCACTGGATTGATCTTAGGTATTATATACTGAAAAGTCTTATTTCACTTTCAGGTAAATTGATTGAAAATTACAAAAATTAGAATTACATATAGGAGAGAGAGAGAGAGAAAAATCATTTTTCAAAGAAATGTTGCCTTTGAAGCATCAATCTAATAGACCAAGAAAAACAATGTGATAAGTGTACATATATAGGTATTTATATATCTTCTTAAATTCTTTGACAAATTTCCTGTGAGGAATTTAAGTCATTATAGAATAAGTAGCGTATTTTTACCAGTTGGAAACTGTTTAAGAGAGAGAAAGCAGGAACTACACATGGATGATCATTTTTCACTGTAAAATATTAAAGGCTACGTTGTCCAAGATTCTACACCATGTATAATTTCTTTACTCAAATTATTTTGATTAGAAAAAGGGAATAAGGTTCAAAGTATTTCAGAGTATGCTAATTAAGTTGGGTGAACCTAGCATTCAGATCGCAAATGGAAATAAGTGTTGGCCAATGCAAGACAATCACAAGTGGAGTGAAATACTCAGAAATCTGATTAGATTCTAAGCCAGCTGTGACCACTCAAGGAAAGATATTGGTATCACTGTGGACAACCCAGTTGAAAATTCTGCTCAATTACAGCAGCAGTCAAAAAAAAACCCTCCAAACCCCCCAAACAAAACAAAATTTTCATTAGTGCACAGAATAAGTAAAATGCGTTAAAGTGAAAACATTTTTTTCGTATAAGCCAGTAGTCTTCACCTGGAAAACACTGTCTAGATTGGTCAAACCGTCACCAAAAAAGGAGATGGGAGAATTAATAGATTTTAAGACACGCAAAGTGACTGGGAACCCTGGGGACTGTCTAACTGAGAGAAGAAAAGAACAAGAGGGCTCATGGCTGAGTAAATGAATGGCACCTCTACAATGAACTGGGTGCTCCTCTTGGTCTTTTCACATCATATAACAGAGAGGTAGCAATAACACTGAAAGTCAACCAATTTAAATAGATCAAAGGTTGCCTGGAGTGTGGTTTTCACAAGAAAATAAGTAATTAACCTACTGAACTCACTGCTACACGCTACCGCTAAGGTAGTGAACTTATTGGGAGGCAAAACCGGATTAGCTGCTTATCTGGGCAGTGAGTATATCTGCAGTTTGTCTAGAATTGCTAGAGGTTTCCATTTAGTGAGGAAGGTGGATATCTGTTTTCTTTTGGAAATGGTCTCCAGGCAGCAAGCAAACACAGGCTGGTCCGTATGAAAACACTTTACTTGAGGGCAGTGCATGTATCCGAGGCAGCATTCCCTGCACCTGCTTCTGAAGCATGTGGTAAGGGACACTGATAGAGACACTATACTGGACAAGACAAAACACCTGCCTGATCCAATGTTGCAATTATTATGTTCTAATGTTCTTTAACTGGATGACTGATGCCTTTTTGAATAGGAAAATAATGAGTTACGATAACGAATAACGCAATTTCCGTTAATTATTCACGCTAACGGTCATGAAACTTTTGAGATGTATGAATATTTTAATGAATAAATCATTGGTCACCAGCTTGCACTAAAAAACCTCAGAAATCATACTGGAATGAGCTTGTTGCCATTATTTATGAATAAATCTGTGAATCACTTTCAATATATGACCACTCTGCTTTCTGATTGACTAAATATGAAATAGATGAGTATAGAATAGACATCATTAATTCATTTCAAAGCCAAGAGAAGATTCCTCAGGAATCTATGAAAATACTATGGGCCGTACCAGAAACGTATTGTTTCCCATGGACAGATTATGTTAATTTTTAATTCTTCCATGCTGGAATGGATTACAAAAATGAAGGGTCTGATCCTCAGAGTTTGCAGGCCATCCTATCTCCAGTGAGATCAAGAGAGCTTTACATACTCATACTACCTGAAAATCCCAACCAGGGAAATTACTGAGCAAGTGAGTTCATTTAAATGACTAGGTTTATTTTATCTCCTTGGTTTCCAACATTAATTTTCACAATGACTCAGAAGAAAGATCTATGAAGGTATTTTTTGTCTCGTTCCAACCCTTTATCAAAAAAAAAAAAAAAAAAAACAAAAAAAAACCACAAAAAAACCCCACAACAAAACAACAACAACAAAAAAAAAAACTAAAAAACCCCACACCTGCCCACAGTTTACTCAGAGCTTTTCTAAAAGCTTGAGGAAACCCTGGGAGATGGTGTTTTACAGAATTTCTCACCTATTTGTGCTGTGGCCGCTCAGAGAGATCTTTATTGCCATCACTGTCAGAGGTGCCCCATAATATTCCCAATGCCCATTATCACATTGCATTTCCCTTTTGGCAGAGGCTGACAAAACAGAGATGTTCAAGGAACAGTTGTCAAAACACTGGCATATTCTAATTACAACAGTTACTGTGTTTCTGTGAAAGTCAAATTCTGAGCTCAGTTGCACTAGAATAAACCAGAAGTAATTAAATTCAGTAGAGTCACTCCTGATTTGAGAGAACGTAATTGAGATCAGAATCTAGTCCATGGAGTCAGAAAACATACTGGAAAATACAGGAATCAGAAGATCATCTTGTAAAAAGGAAAACATGCAGAATGCTCTCAGCAAAGCAGCTGACCCTAAAGGACGGTCTGTTTCATTTTATCTTTATCATACTTCTAAAAATTAATACATGAAGCATATGAACTACAGAAATCCCACTGCATATCTTAGTCTCACTGGCAAGCATTCTTTAGGAAGCGCTTGATGGAAATGATATAAAACTCATTTCACCCTGTCCCATCCTCTTGGGACTTAAAATCATGTTATATGAGATGTCTCTCTGGAACACCTGCTGATACGTATCTCTCTCTACAGGGAATAGGGGGTGTCAGCTATAGGTAATGACACAGCTTTAAAGGTAGGAGAGATGGTCCAAAATGACAGGCAACTCCACAGCCTAAAGCATTTTTACATCGAAACGAGCTCAGGGCCCATGGGAAAGGGATGCAGCCGCTTAATACATCTCCAGGGGTGGCCTCGTCTTTTAATTCTGCCCACTTGTATCGGGGAGATGTAGGAGGGCAGTGGGATAAATCAGCAAGAGATCCCTACTCCGCTTGGTACGGAGGGCTAGGAAACGCAACCTGCTAGGCACAGGCGGTTGGCGTTCAGCTGGTGGGATGAGGACAAGCAGGTCACTCCGCATCTTTTGGGCAGCTCCAACTTGGGAAAAGCCGTGGAGACCCTGGCAAAGCCAAAAGCTCTCCTTGCCAAAATACAGGAACTGGAAAAGATGGGTAGGGTGGTGTGTGGGGAACGTGCTAATTGCCTCATTTAGTTAGAGCAGTTCTCAGTGCTCGGTCCTTTGTGCAGCCTGGTTCTCAGAGACGGGAATCCAGGCTTCGATTTAACAGAGCTTGAAATGCTACCATACAATTTAAGCTTTTTAAAATTTAAGGCTACAAGCATTTGTGAAAAAGTTATCCCTGCCATTCATACGAGCTGGATCTAAGCCCCTTCGTCTTTCCTTAGACTGATTACTGTTGTCCACCTACCCAAAGAGCCCACGGAAGGTCGGGGCAGCATTTTCACAAGTGGATAATCCTCTTCTGTGACTTCAAATCTTTGAGAATTAGCTGCAAGTTGCTGCAAGCTCAGAAGCTCAAAGCCAGAGAGATCCAAAATTTGTGAAGAAATCGTGAGATACAGACTGGGCTTCCCAGTTCTAATTTCTTCCTACCTGTTCCTCTGTAGTTTAACCCACCCCACAGGACCTGCAGTGTTAACCTCTGGGTGACTGAACCAGGATCAGCTGAGCCCCATCTGAGGATTTGTTGTTGTTGGTGGGTTTTTTTTTTTGTTTGTTTGGTTGGGGGTTTTTTGGTTTTGTTTTGTTTTGTGTTTTTTTTTGTTTTTTTTTTTTTTTTTTAAATTGGCATTTAAAAGAGGGAAGAGCTGGTTGGAAACAGACACTGGGAGGAAAGTCCTTATCTCATACCACTTGTTTCTCTCCCTCCCCTATAATTCGCTATGAAGCCTCGCATCCTCTGTGCCTGGGGATGCTCTCCCTCGCCTGCCTCTGGCACTAGAGGGCGCGGAGACCTGGGCTTTGGGCTGGAAATCCAACTCTCTGCAGATCCCTACTTTCCTTTAAATTGAACTCAACTTTCAAAGAGGTCTTGATTTCACAGAAAGGGAATCTGCTTCATTATTACTGGTCTGCCTGCATTCCCCATGCTGCATTGCTATGGAAACAGGACCAGAAAATAAGTCTTTTGCATGTAGGTCATGATATTAGTGGAGAAGAGAAAGTCTGGATGAACGGGCGAGTGAGTTATAGGAGTGAAGCGGGACAGAGTAGCCGTCTGAGACTGTATCAACAACAGTGGGGAAATTCAGAGTAGATGTCCTCGAAAGACTATTGAATTAGACACCGAATGGACTGAAAGACCCGAGCACTTAAAGCAACTGAGAGCCATGAAACACACACAAGGAGTCAGCCCAGAGGTGGCAATCAAAACGACAGGGGGGCGGGGGACTGAACACCCAGGCAAAAAATTATGTTTTTGTTCACAGAAGCTACTTTCCACTGATGGCCTTGGTTTCCCCCTTCCTGTGTCTTGGTCTGTCTCCTGGGTGATGGCACAGCAAGCACCACACGGCTGCTGCTCCTTCTACCTCCTCAGGACACTCCCGACCATGCATGGTCCAGACCTCCCCAAGCCCTGCCCAGGCGCAGAGTTACCATTTTGGGGTGAAGGATATTATTTAGAACCTTGGGTTTGGATGGGAGGAGAGCGTGAGCTCTCCTTTTTATTATTTTGCCCTCTGTCCACTGCAACTTGGGGACATCCTAGACAACCCTCGCCACGTACTGGGCCCCTTTCCTGAGCAGACTGCAATGCAGGAATCGCGGAGCGCCGCGGCCAGGAGCAAGAGAGGGCAGCTCAGCGGGGCACAAGCTCGCCAAGTCAGCGAGCCCGCTGCACTTCTCGCTCTCCTGATGCAAACCAGGGCTGCTTCTGCAGTCCAAGGGTGCTGCAGAAGGGAAGTTTGGCCAAAGTTATAACCAAAAAGAGCCTAAAGGAGAGGGGGAGTATACGCTGTGTAGCTTAACTGCGGTTTATAGATGAGTCACCGAGAGCGGCTGGTGTCATAAACCATATGATCAAGGCTGGTGTGTATTTAGACAGGGGCTGTGATTGCAGGCGATGCAATACCATAAAAGCAGACAGTGTGAATACTTCTGATCTCCCATATTTACCTTCTTCATTGTCAGACTTTTTTGGGGGGTTGTTTTTTTTTTTTTTTTTTTCCCCTTTTTTTTTTTAATCCCTGAAACTTCATGAGCAGGATGTTAAGCACAGGATGGCCCATTTTTTTTTTTTTTTTTCCCCCTTGTTGTTTTCCTTTTTGCAAAGGGAAGATCTTCTTTAAGGGATAGGGTCAAGCTAATGCGTGCAAACACATTGGTTGACACGTAAAAATGGGGAGCTATGTTATTCTGGCTAGATTTGCAACAAGAATTAACCCTCCTCAGTGTCCTCTTCCACTTGAAAATAAAAAGCTACCTCTCCTTGCCCTAAAGGAACTTTAGCACGTGAAAATAGTAGGAAAAAGCAGTCTTACAGGGGAGGGAGGAAGAGTCCCTTGTCCTTTCCTCAGCGGAGGGGTAAGGGCTCACCCCTAGGCCCGTGGGAATGAGTTACAAGCCCTGGAAGCCCCCCCCGGGAGCTGGTGGTGGGCCGAGTCGCCCCCCAGGAGCACCCCCCGGCCCAGCTGCCTTGAGGGGAGACCAGGGGAAGGGGGAGAAGCCGGCTTTGCAGCTTCCAGCCTGCCTGCTCCCCCGGAGGGCATCACCCTGGCACCTGGGCAGCCGCGGGGAAGGCGGCGAGGGGCACAGAGCGGGGGGGGGGGGGGGGGGGGGGGGGGGGGGAAACGCGAAGAGGAACGGCCCTAGCCAGAGAGGTGGCCGGGCTCGACTTTTGCCCGAAAGAAAAAAAAATAAAAAAAAAAAAAAAAAAAAAATGCAAGCGACCCGGAAAACACTTCGCCCCTCCAAAGCCGCCTCCGAAACGGCTGGAATCTGGAGGGCCACCAGGACCTCGGTGCCCAAGAGCCGTTTCTGGGAGGCAGTTTTTCTCCCACAGCTTGATCTAGGCTTCCCTTCAAGGCATCAGCTCGCTCCTTCTGACCGCAAGCACTCCGGGGAGGCGGCAGGAGCCAAAGGAGAAGGAGCCCGGAGGCACGGCCGGGACCGGCTCAGCCTTGCCGGGGCTCGGGCGGGCCGGGGGTGCGGGGCGAGCCGGCCCCGGAGCATCCTCCCCCCGCTGCACCCCTCTCCCTGACCGCACCGAGAACCGGACCCCAGGGGCACCGAGCCAGGGAAACGGGGGCGCAAATGAACCGGGGAAACCTCTATTCCTCCGGCGGCGCCCCGCGCCCGCACTCCCCTTCCCCGAGGTAGGACCTGAGGCAGCGGGGACGGGCGCTGAGCCCCGGCAAAGAGCACGCTCCCCGGGGAGGGATGCTGGGGGGCGAGGGACCGCACTGAGACAGCGAAAGCCCCCTCCTCCCCTTGTACCCCGCGTCCCTGCGGGGTCCCCGGCGGGGCAGGGATGCCCCTCGCCCCGTCTCCCCCGGCGGGCTCCGCTCCCCGGGGACGGCTCCGCTCCCGGTGATATTTTGCAGGAGTCGTCAACAAACATGTCACAGCGGGATTTGGGAAGGGCAGTCCGGGAGACTTCCCGGTGTCGGAATGCAGCATCTCTATAAAAAACCCCTGGGCAGGGATTGGAAAATGTGAAGATTTCTCTAAATCAGGCTACTGCGTCTCTCCTTCCCCGCTATACCTTGCTAGGCTCGATTCTGGGATTAATATCGCAACTGTAACTCAACAGAGGAAGGCTCTGTGCTGGGGGGCAACCGCTTTGCCTTCTCTTCTCTCGCTGCCTTTCCCCCTCGGTGACCCGCACCGCTAAGGACACTTTTAGCAAAAGTTTCCCTACGTTCTGCTCATTCTACCAGGAAGCAAAACGTAAGCTCGTTTTCTTGGACATTATTTTCTTGGCGGGAGCTTTGCTTTGCTATGACAGACAGCGGACGGAAATCTTAGGTGCGGCGAAGAAGGGGCGGAGAGGACGAGAAAGAAGAAGCGGCGGGGGGGGGGGGGGGGGGGGGGGGGGATAAAAAAAAAAAAAAAAAAAAAAAAAAAAAGAAAGAAAAAGGAAATTATAGGAGCAAGTAAACGTCAGTAAAAACCAAAGCTTTCCTACCTGTGGTCCAGTCAGCAGAAGTTGCATCCCATCCCGTTGCGAGCGGCGGCTGCGGAGCGGTCCCCGCCGCCGCCGCTTTATCGCTCCGTTCCGTATCTGCCACGGGGAGGGCGGGGGGGCCGGGGAAAGAGAGATTACTTAGTACCGTGACGAGGGAGGCGGGTGGTGGTGTGGGGGGGGTGGGGGTGTGTGGAAGAATAACAGTTTGGAAGCGTTAAACGAGGTGTGGCATTGTCCGGGCTGATGGAGTTTTTTTATCTCTTCCCCCCCCCCCCCCCCCCCCCCCCCTCCCTCCCGCACAGGCACACACAGACACGCTCACACCCTCCGTGGCTCTGGGGAGTCTCGGCTTCGGTTCAGCCAAACTGAGCTTAAAATAAATAAATAAATATTTAGAGCAATGATGCTATCAAACCTGGCTTAACGAGCTCAGACAAAACTGGAGAAATTAAAAATAGCGGAAGCGGGGACTCGCAAGTAAGCTGGTAATAATTCATATTTCCCCCCGGCGGTTCCGAGGAAATGAGAGCAAACTGCCACCTTCGTGGGGGTGGCGGGGAGGGAGGGAAGCGGGGTGCCTAGGTGAGCGTGGGGGGGTGAGTGTCCTTGCTGGGGTGCTGCGGCTGTGGGTCCGCTCCGCTGCCCGCCTGCGGGGGGGGCGTGGGGGGGGGCGTGAGCGCGAAGTGGGCTCGATTAGCTGCAATGGGCAGGCAATTTCTGCAGAGAACATTTACAATTTTCTTTCAATATGACAGGATTAGTTGCTGTTGAAGGCTCTCCTCCAATAAGATCAGCACTGCTCTCTGATTTGGTGGCTTTGCTGAATAGAAATTACTGGTTCTTGTTATCTCTCAACACACTCTCCCCTCTTCCTCATCAGACACTCCCCTCTTCCTCATCAGAAGTCTTTAGCTACAATTTGCGCATCAGAACCGTTTTTTTTGTGTTTGGGTTGTGGTTTTTTTTTTTTTTTTTTTTTTTCCCAGCTACCTCTTCCCCATCTTTCCCCACAACTCTTTCCTTTTTATTTATGGTTACTTTCCTTATTTTTTTTTTTCCTCCCCCTTCTTCTTCCCACCATTCCAGGAGAGCTGTAACTCTAAAGTGGTGTATAGGAGAAGAAAGGGAGAAAGAGGTCTTGCTTTTAGAGTCATCAGAGTCTCTGTGCACTGTGAAATATGTTGTTACACTAAATCTAGTTTATTTTGTTTTAACTGATTATTGTGCTGAAATATTAATGTAAAGCTGATTCCCTGGCACAATGACAAACAAATTAGGAGAAATAGATACATTTTGTGAACAAGAGTTAATTCTCCTTGGGAGGAAAGCATTCTCCTTTAATTAATAGTCACTAGGCTGAGAAGCATTCACTTTGGTTAAGGGAACTTGCCAGTTCCATGAAAATCTAGAAATAAACATATTTAGGTTTGCTTTGTCTTTGCTTCTCTCCTGGACTGGAATTGATTTGTGGTCTGGAGTGATGCTTTTTCTCTTGGGATAGAGGCTGTCGGGGTGGGAAGCAGGAGAGGGGAACCCATCTCATCTGTTGTCTGAAGAGTAATAGGGGGGAAGTGATAAGGAAAGAGAGGGGTGCACCTAACGAAGGTGACCCCGTAGCTGCTGCCTCCCCTGCCCCATCTCTCTTCTTGAAGGGCCGACAGCCCAACCACTTCCCTCTTCTCCACTCCAAAGCCCCTTCGATTTGCAGAAAGCGTTTCTCGGCCTGGGCTTGCCCCAGGCAGAGGAGCTGCCTACACCACTCTCATACATTTAGCTATCGCTCCTGGAAAGATCTCAGGGGTGGACTTGCCTCCAAGAGGATGATGTGTCTTGAGGGTAGCAGGACTCTGGATATACTCTGCTCAGCCCTGGGGTGGGTATTTCCCCTGCCTTAGGCGGCAGGGCTAATTTGCAGGTGGGAAGCTCTGATGTTTGGAGGTACTCGTGTGACACGAGTCTGCGTTTCTCTACCTGAAAGGACTTTCACAGGGTTTAAGGGCTGGATCACTTGTAGATCTTCGGGAGCATCGAGGCAGCTGGGACCTCACATCTAGCCCTCGCAGGAAATTTTGCCTGGACTTCACAGCAGAGTTAGGAGACAGTTATCCGGGCAACTCAGGTGAGATTTGGCACCGGGAGGTTGGAAACAAGCCACGAGCAGGCTGTGGCCCTGCCACGCGGAGGGGCGGGGGGGACAGCCACCCCCACAGCCTGGGTGCCCCCCCCCCCCTTTGCGAGACGGAGCCTGAGCACCCCCTGCACCTCCCACGGGCTCGCTCCGAGACCTCGGTGCTTAACATATTTTAACATTCATTAACATTAATCAAAACGATCAGCAGCCTCAAAAGGGACAATACCCGCCTCCTCCTCTCCCCCCCCCTTTTTTTTTTTTTTTTTTTTTTTTGGTTTTTTCTCTTTTTTTTTTTTTTTCCCCCCCTCGCGGCGACGTCGCGAAGTGTTTGATTGCACGCGTTGCCTTCCGGAGATTTAATTGGAGTTCAATCACGGCGAGAAGGAGCCAGCCCTTCCCAAAGCGAGGAGCAGGGAGGGGGTTGGCGACCGTGCCCCGGGGGGGGGGGGGGGGGACGACACACGACACCCCGACAGCACACAGCAGTCTTCGGCACTGTCCCTCCCTCCGTGGCGGCTTTCGGGGCAAGGCGGCTCGCTGCTTCCCACGAGTGGAGTGGAAGGCAGGAGGGACCTGCGGGCTGGGGCTGGGGCTGGGTTCGGCTCTCCCCGGCTGCAGAGGGCTCCCCAGCGCCACGCTGCTCAGCGCCGTGCGGCCCCAGGGCTGCCAGAGCCCGGGCAGCTGGAAGGGGCATCCTCCGCCTTGCAAACCCCACCCGAGCCGGGGGAGCATCGCCTCCCCCGCGCCGTGCTCTCCCGTGGAAATAAAAGGCCGGTGCTAAAAACCCCGCGGTGTGACACACCCCCACCCCCCCCACCCCCCCAAAACTCGCCTTGTCTGCAGTCCGCCCGGGGAGAGCAGTGATTCCCCCCCCCTCCCGAAACGCGTGTGCGCAGCGCTGCCTCCCTGAGCCCGCGGAGCCCCGCTCTGAATCAAGCTCAGCAGATACATCTTGATGGCACTCGGTGGTAAGCAGAGGCTTTTAAGTTTGACAGAGCATCTGTTATTACCGGCTCCTCTCTTTGGAGCACTGCGTGGTAGACACACCTCCTGAGGGAGGAAAAAAAAAAAAAAAAAAAAAAAAAAAAAAAAAGCTGCTCCTGAGCTTAAAACGTTTAAAATGCATCCCCTCCACCCGACCCCCCAGCTCATGCAAGAGGAGGGAGGGCGGGGGAGCCGAGTGGTTTACAGTGTGCTAAACAGCTGTTAGAGAGAAATCCATCCCATAAAACCACAGAACAAAGCGCTCAGCCCTTCGCTCGCTGAAAAGGAAAGAGCAAGAGAAAGCGGGTGTTCGCTAATGGTGATCCTCCCCTCCCGCGGAGGGAACCTCCCGGGGAGGAGAGGCCAAGGTAGCAACTTCCAGAGAGGAGATTTCCAAAAGAAATCGCCCCCGTGTCCGGTGCTGCCGAGGGATCTCTAGGGAGCCTTTGCTGCGGGTGGGGTCCCTGCCTTCAGCTACACGTAGTGTCCCGAACGGCTCCTGCCCCGAGAGTTTTATAGCGTGGGTGGGCGAGGGGAGGAGGGGGGGTGTCCCCGGGGACCGCTTTCAGGGTGATCTTTTCTCTTACGCTCAGCGGGGTGCGGTGCCTCTCCCATTCAGCCCGCACCCGGGGGTGGGGGCTACAGAGAGATCTGCAGAGAGTCAAGGGCCCCTCAAAGGGTGAGGGAAGCTATGGAGGCCCCGGGGACAAAGTGTCCTGGGTGGGTCATCCCCATGCTCTCACGGCTTCTACTCCCCACACCCCCCCACCCCCCCGCCCCCGCCTCAGCATCCCTCCATGCCTGCTTCACCCCTTTGCAACAGGGTTGGAGTTAATGAGAAAAGGCAAGATTTCAGATGAATCTGCTGTTTTCCCTTTCACTCCCAGAGGCACTCATGTCCACTCGGAGCCAGGGCAGACAAGAGCTTGCCTCCCGCTAGCCCCTTTCTCTCTCCAGGCGAATGAGGATGGCTAAGAAGAGCAGCCTTGCTCCCCTCTCATGTTGCTTCTGACTTGCCACATTCCCGAGGAGGAGGGAAGGAGGGAGGGTGCACCCTTAAACGTGTGAACGCCCGGAGGAGGGGGTCCTGATGGCTCAGCGACCTCCCAACACATTTGCCATGGCTTAGGCAACTGGCTTCCCAGCCAGCAGAATGCTTCCTCAAGGGACTGAAAGAGCAAGCCCAGGGGACAGACCTCTCTTGATTTCCCTTTGGAAGCTGGGTCCCCTCACAGGGGAAAGAAGTAGCTCCAAGGGCCACGTTTATTCAGAGTACCGCTTCCCTTGGAGTTTTTGCCACCAGTTCTAGGTCAACAGGACTGGGAAGAGCAGGGAGAAGCCCCTAAACTCTCTGTGGAAAAAGAGACGCCTGCAAACGGACTCTTGACCCAAGCAGCACAAGGCGGTTAACCAAGGAGCAAAGAGGGAGGGGGAGCCAGTCTTGGACACCTCGCTCCCAGCAGGGACCAGTGCAGGCCCTGGGGCTACTGGTTGTGGCACCCACCCATAGGACCCCGGCTGTGGGCTGTGCTTGCCACCCCCCCCCCCCCCCCCCACACACACACACTCTGCTCTGCTGCTATTTAGCCTTTTGTAGGGCTTCCGCGCTCGTTTACCTCCAGCATTGCAACGGACAGCTGATTTTAATGGTTTTGCACACGGGGGAGGCAGGCGTTTGACAGATGACGGGAAAATGCTGGCGAGAATGGGACAACAGAACAGCAAATCATCCTGATGGTGCGGACCGCAGGGAGCAAGAAGAAAGGAAGGAAGAAATCCAAACCGAGGCAACGGCGAGCCAGACTCCATGCAAATACATCATTAATAGGCACTTACTAGCGGAAATTAAATGAGTTAAATAAACTGATTGTCAAACCTTTAACAGAAAAGGGCATGTAATCACTTAGTTGTGTCCAGGGCAGTGAGTCCATAGGAGCATTATAAAGCAGAGTTAGATATATCAGAGGAAGGCACTGAAATATTGACACGTTGCAGCTTGGATTTAGCTAGCGCTAGGGAACTATGAGCATTTCGGTTTCTTCTTCACAGTTGAAACCTTTAAGTCCTCCAGCACAGCTACCAAGGAGGTGTATTGCTTTCACCTGCCAGCGACATTAAGCACTGTCTTACTAAC